GTTTAGGGTTTGGGGTTTTGGGTGCTTGATGGGTACTACTGAGGTTACTCTAACGGCTCCTTAAAGGGATAGGCGCTCCTTTAAGGGATACTATGAGGGTTATTACCCTAAGGGGCCATGTATGCAAATAGTAGATACTTTGGCCCCAAAGTACGTTTCCAGGGATTACTCTAAGGCCAAAGTATATACTATTTGGGTACATGGACCCTCAGGGTAAGGGGTTTAGACGGGTTAGAGTCTACAAGGGTTAAGGGTTTAGGGTGAGAGTTTGGGCTTTTGGCGTTTAAGGTATGGGGGCTTAGGATATTCAGGGTTTGGGGCTTAGGGCTTTTAGGGTTTGGGGTTTAGGGGTTCAGGAATTAGGGTTGAGGGGGCTTGGGGTTTAAGGATTTGGCAATTTTAGTTTAAGTTTAGGGGTTGAGGGCTTAGGGGCTCACGAATTTGGGCTTCAGAGGCTTTGGGTTTAGGGTTTAGGGTTTAAGGTCTAGGATTTGGGAGGGTTTAGGTTTAATTCTGAGGTCAGATCTTGCAGAGGTATTCTGCGTAGGTACTCAGTTCCGATCCTACGGCAGTAAAAGATCCTTATGAAGCCCTTCAAGAGCACGTAGAAGGCAGTGTAGCCAAAGACAGAGTTTAAGATTCTCATACAGCCGGAGAAGCCCTATGGAAGCGGCTAAACTTGCCCTAGTCCTTCTACCACCCGAAACCCTGCAAGTTCCTGGAAACTGCAGTCCTCCAAATTTAAGGATCCGGGTTTAGGGGTTTAGGGGGTTTGGGGGTTTGGGGGGTTTTGGGGGTTTGGGTGTTTAGTGGTTTAGGGTGTAGGGTTTTAGGGTTTTTTGGGGGTTTTGTTTTTATGGTTGAGAGGTTTAGCGTTTAGGGCCAGTTTAGGGCGCACTTTAGGGTTTTAGGGGTTTTGGGGTTTAGGGTTTATAGCTAATTAGGGTTGAGGGAGCATTTTCAAGGGCCTTGAACCCCCTACCCGAAACCCCCTACCCGAAACCCTAAACCCTAAACCCTAAACCCTAATACCAGTAACCAGGCTCGGTCCTGCCGCCGACATCCGCGCCGGTGGCTCCCACACCTGTGCCCTGGAGGCCGGGGCTAACCCACCCAAAGGGTGCTAAGTGGTTATACATGGTTTCCCTAAACCCTAAACCCTAAACCCTAAACCCTATATAGGTCAGTTTGGGGCCTTTGAAAGCAGGACGCTACTATTTCGGATCTAGGTTGTCAGTTTGTTTTATTGTTGCTGGGTGTCTACTCTTGTATAGATATACGGGGACCACACGGGGATATTATGACTGGTTTTGTCTAGAGTCTAGTGGTTCCGAGCTCTAGGTTAGTGGCGCTTATAGCGCATCTTGGGATTTTACAGGCTCCCTAACGGTCAAACTATAGAGGGATCTTTAACATTTTTGAAAGTGTATTGCTTGATGAAAGCGTATGGGGCTCGCTAGGTAGGGCTCACCCAGACCGTTTGTGAGGGCATGTAGTATGAGTTCCATGTAGAAGAGTCTTGCGTACAATCTCAGTGTTTATGTGGTAGCTGGGCTTCATACGTTGGTTTGCTACTGTCTTCGATTTTGTCCTTGTAGATGCCGCAACAAGTACTATGCAAACCGGAGACGTATGCCAGTAACAGTGTATCTTGTTATTGTCAATACACGACATCAGACTAAGATTTCGCCATAAGTAGCAATGGCAGGAATGGCTGCATATAGGATTTCAGTATTGACGGTGGTCATAGTGCACAGATGTCTTGAGGGTTTTGAAGGTTAGCTGGTATGCTTTGAGTTTGCGGGTTTAAGTTGAGGTTTTTCTAGCCAATCATGTCGGTTTAGTTTATGGGCCACATCCAAGGAGTACAACAACTTGGGAGTGAGGGATCTGGCTTCATGTGCGCTCGTAGGACCCTGCATATATGGAGGCCTGAACCATTCTATATCAGCTAAAGGATCCCATCATAGCCTCTCCTCAACTTGCTAAGTACTTCCCTGCAAATACGCCACAAAGCCAAACCTTACATCCTAAAGCCTAAGCAAAAATAACCCTAAACCCTAAACCCAATTTTATTCCGAAATCCTCGACCCTAAACCCTAAAC